GCGTGTGTTCGTGTGTGGCTTAAAATGCCCATAAACCGCATGCGATTCCATGGAACGCTGCAGCATTTTGTGGTAATTTTCATAATTTACACAGATACGGAACGAGCAGCACACCTTAATGTTATTCGACTGCGGGGAATCCCGGGAGGCGGAAAAGCTGTGTAACAATATTGAGTTGGAAATCATTGAGCATAATTTGTTTGTCTGCTGGCCAGGCACTTGATAGGCGTGAAAATCAATGTATTGATAAGATATTTTCAGCAGATACAATTATTTGACAAATTGCTAAGCAGCTTACAAACAGAAAGGCCTGAAAGGATTTGGCAATTTCCATAAATCATCGATTGCGGTACTGTTTGACGTAGGTCAACTATGATTTATTAAAGTCCAAAAGTGTTGGATTGTCTTTGAGCCTGAGAAACTTTCCTGGAGCTCAAAATGCAAACTTGGGCAAATGTACTAATTTACTTTGGCCCACTCATTAACTGTTAACAGTAAAAGTCCTGCCCCGAACCCAAGTTGAAACTTTGCCCTGATTCTAATAAACTTTGGCGGCAAAGTTCATTACCAAAAACGTATCTTGTAGCATCTCTTAGCTCGTTTTCCACTCATTTTGCCATATTTACGCAAGGTGACAGGATCATGATTAATACGGGTGTGCCTCTGCGGCAGAGTATTGGGGTATAAGATTGGCATGGTGGCAGTCGAAAGGTTCCTGGCATGTCATTAACCTACACCCACACACTCAGCCCGCATAAACTTTTCCAAATGTAAATAGATGTGGAACGGAACTTTTGTTTTAGTTCTCAAAAATTGACATTGACCACCCCCAATATTGGTTGATTGTAATTTAAGATTTGGGATTCTGATAATAAAGTTCAGCTGGCAACCACGGTTTTATTTGAAATCAACTTTGGCATGCCCTATTAAGTCGTAAGAATTATAAAATGTTGGTCTTCACAAAATAAATATTGGCTAAGTAACAAAAACTCAAAAACTCAAAAAACATTGAGACCTTTACTTACCCCTAATAAACACTATCTCCATTACTTTTAAAAGCTCATCAATCCTTCATTTTCACTACATTAAAAGACCCCTTTCATTCATTTTAAAGGGCATTGCGAATCGTTGATGACCGTAGTAAAATCCTTTAAAACCCTTTCCTAACCTCAGAAGTTCCCTGATGTTGGTCACTTTGATAGACACCGAAGACGAAAAGAGACTGACAAGGATGGAGTGAGAAAATATTTTACTTTCGCCACTATCGATTGACCGACTTAAGTAAATACCCTAATTTAAACCGCATGATTGATTGCTGCTGAACAAAAGCCGAACGTGAGTGAGGAAGAAGGCAGCCTTCAATATGAACAGGACCGGAACCCATCTCCTACTCTTCAACGTTGGGGCTGGCGTCAAAGTTGTCGCCTTGCTCCGGATTTTGCCTATTACATGGGGCGGAGCTGGAGGTCGGAAGTATGGATGTAGGGGGCTAAGCCTTGGGGTTATGGGAATGACTGGGCTGGCAAGTCATCACGGACATTGCACTTTGGCTTTGACCATCAAGAATTTCGGGGCATTGTGACGGCAGTCCTTTTGGCACAAGGACTCTTCAGGCGATTTGCTTCAGGAAAAGGGAGTGGCTGGCAGCTCATTGATAAAATTTCCCAACCGGGTTGTTGCTGGCATTTTGAATCGAACAAAGCCTTGGGGCCAGCGCACATGCAGGATCCAGATCCTGGATTCTGCAGGAAGAACACATATATATATATATATATGTTTGAAAAATGAATGGCGCCTAGATGGAGGATGCGAACGCCTTTATGGTAATCCAAGATGATGCCCCTTTTTGCGGTTGACATGATTCACTTGGGCGATAAACCAAAGATAGCAAAAAGTCAGTCAAAGCCCAAGTAGTTCGCCAAGCAGCAGAAGGATGGGGGTTAAGGATGCGCAGGACAAAGGACATTGGCGGCGACATTTTGGCAGCCCTTTTGGCATATCATTTTGGCCATTTCTCGGCAGTCTGCCTTTCTATTTCCTTTTTTTTTTTAAGCAATTTTCCACGTTTGAATAAACATTTCATTTAATTTGAGCGCAAACAAAGAAAATAATATAATAAACAAACGGAACGAAAAGCGCGAGGTGCCCTGGGAAAAGCTCGCGGTGGTGGGGAAAACAATTTGGCCGACGGGCGCCGAAACTTTACGCAAACACGTAATGCTCTTTACGTTGTTGTAGAACGCAGCAGCCGCACGCAATGCGAGCATTTTTGTAATAAGAAATTCAATTTTCAGCAACATTAGAGGCCAAAAGTTGACTCCGCGGCTACGTGTGCAACAGAAAGACTTCCCCGACTTTTTGCAGCCAACGCAGCAGCCGCAGAAATTACACAATTTTGCATTCTTTCTTTGAGTGTGTTTGTTTTTGTATTCTATAGATAAAATGCATACTCTTTTACGTTACTGTTTCCAGTTGAAATTAAAATGCAAAGTGAATTTATTGTAGAGCCGCAGGCGTGTCCTGAACTGAAAAGAACGGAACGCAACTGAATGGGAAGCAAGTCTGCGTGTCGCACGCTCGTCCCATGCAAATTTTAAATTGCACCTGTTATTGATAAGCCAGGACATTTGCCTATCGCCGCAAGGGTCTTGTAGAGGTTTGCCTAATTGTCAACGGGTTTCTTGCTCTCAAATAAAATGCATTTGGCGCGCAGTTTCCGGGATAAGCGTGTTTGATCTACTGCCAAGATTTGCCACAGCATATAAAGGAAACATGCCATAGTTGAAACGGGAAAAGCTCTATAACTTTTTATATTGTCGTATATATGCAAAATATAGATAAGGCAGTTTTGGTAACACGGATTTTATAAAGTTCCTGGGCCTATTGGGTGTCCTGGACAAATTAATATTATCAATGAATATATTTAAATATAATTTATGACTGCATACAAAGATAAAACTTCTCTTTTAAGACATACCGTTCAGATGTCGAGGACACTTAATCATCCACATTGTGTCAGATTAGAGATTATTGAATTCATAGGAAATTGGAAATTTCAGCATTTCCTTGGAAAGTGACAAAACATTTGAATTTATTATTCAACTAATCAAGTATTTATTAGAATGCCCCGGGGGTTGACTGACACCGGTAACAGCTACAGTGGCATCCCCCGGAAACATTTTCCTTCACCTCGGCCACCCTTTCACTTGGCACACACTTTCACTTATTACCGTTTTCCGGCAGCCCCCCAGGGAAGGTGGCCACGCCCAAATGGCGACCCAGCACGTAACCCAGCGGGTCCCGGTCCCTGCCCGGGCGCTATGTGCCCCACTTGGACACCGTATCTGTTTCGGCTTATCTGCCTGAGCCCGAGCCTGTGACGTGTCCCGATGTCGTTAACTCGCGCGTGTGCCCCATGTGTAGCATTTTCACCTGTCAACAATATTTCATGCCCACTGTGCATTGTGCATTAGAATGACGCCGCCAACAGCTGCCCGTTCCCGTATTTTTCGTATTCCCGTTTTCCCGTATATGGGTATTACCCATTCCCAAAAACCCGATTGCTTTCCCTTCCGCCACTCTCTCTTTTGTTAACCATCCCCTTGTAGGCTGCAGCGCCTAGAAAAGTTGATCAGGTGGAACGGCAGCGTGTAACGTTTACGCCTTTTGGCTTGCCGCTTGGTTTCCGCCTTTATTTTTGCCTTTTGCGAAATTCCCCGTTTTCCCACTCAGTCTTATCAGCTTTTGCTGCCTGCTTATCAGTGATGTCAAGTACAACAGCACGGGAAAATTAGAAGAAATTCGGTAAATATAAATACTTTATTGTGATAATAATAATTCGGGATTTCGGCAAACTCTTGTTTGGCTATTAACTTATTAGTTTACTACCACAGAACAGAAATCAATGAAAGACTCCTATTTTTAAGGTGTGCTATTAGATCAGAACATTAGATACAGTTTTCTGAATGTTTTAGAAACAAGAAATAGTAATAAGTTACATATTTCTTAAGTCTACATCTATCTTATTTTTAAATACTTATTTTTAAATATTCATAAATTTATTTGCTTCAGCAGAATTAATGTACATATTGTAATTTTATTTTCTGTGTGAACCTTTCTTAAACTGAAATTGACCATACTGAAAGAAAAAAAATTTGCCACTTGAAAGCAATTCTAAAAAATATGCTGGCTATAATATTATTGATTTACAATCTTACTTCTTATATAGATATTTATGATACATAACATAATTTATACAAAAAAGGCAAAATTAAGTTAAAATATGGCTAGATGGACATCACTGCTGTAAGGTGTACACACATGTTTGTCCTGCGCCTAATTTCGGGTATTTTGGATTGCGTGCACCATGCGTCGCGTCACGTCGCCTGCGACTTGCGTGCAGCAAAATAACTGCTTCGTGTTGGCAGCTCCACGGCTTTGTTGTTCCTGTTGCCGCTTATCATGAGCAGACCGAAAATTGCCATGGCAACAACAAGTTGAAAACGCAATTTTCGGCTTTTGCATTACAGTTTTACCCCACGAACGCAAAGAGACCAATCCGCCCTTGGTTTTTGGAAGTCCCTGAGTACAATACGGGTAATTTGAATGAAAACAGATGTGTGGATAGATTATTATATTTACGTAGATAACAAGTGCATGCAAATATATCATGCCTCCCTATTTATAAAAGAGCATTTTATATAGGAAAAATATCTAATAAAAGCGTTTTTAATATATTCATTAGAAAAAACCTCAAATCAAGGTTGTAATGTAGCAAGTATACTAATGAAAGCATAGCAAGGTAGAATTTTTTACATAAAAGTTATTAAAAAGGTATTGTTTTAAGCCATAGTTAATAGGTATATGGCATTTTGCGTTCCAGTCTTACATCCAATGACCCAAATGTTACTTATCCAATTTGCAGAATGATGCTAATTGTAGAAGAATCTGTGTTCTATTGGTAGGTCTGCACTGAGTTTAGTTTGAGTTTAGCTACCGACATGAATACATCTGTGTGGTTTTCATTTTGTGCAACACTTTTCAGTTTTTTGCAGCAAACTATCACACAAGATGTCCATTCCAGAAGTAAACGATTTTTAATATTTCCTCGGCAAGCGCCCACAAGACACCAGGTACTGTTTCTCTAAACTCATACAAAAAAAGTTACTGATTAGTAATTTTTGCTTCTAGTTTATTGCTGGCATTGGTATCCCTGCCGATCTTGAGTACGAATCACTTACAGTGGGTTACGTTTTAAAAGCAGAGTACTATCTGCCATACAATGCAAGTGTCTATAGGCAAAACCCACTATTTCCCGAATATAAGCCAAATAAGATAGACGCCGAAAAACAAAGAGAGTTCTTTAAGAAGCCTACGCATCTTCGTTGGCAAATATACGACTTTATCGAAAATATGCTAAATGGGTGAACTCTTATTAACATACAGTAGCAATAAATAAAAATAAATATATATTTTTCCAATTAGTTACGGCTTGAATGGACACGAATGTCTTTTGGAGGCCATATGCGAGGCTAATAGTATACAATTTGCTAAGGACTTTAGCACTGCAGCTGAAATGTTGCACTTGCTTTTAAGGTGCGTTTTTTAATTTTATATCTTATCTTATAATATTAATTATTTGTTTTTTCTCTAAAGTCCATCTTCGACTTTAAACTCTGATTCGAAACAAGCACGGGATTTTATACTCGCAGAAAAAGAAGGAGCCCTAATGAACTGTGCAAAGTATGACTGCAATACTAAAATCATTGATTGGTTTTCTTTTGTCAGAGAACTAGATTTTTAATTTTGGCAACCAATTAACATGTTAATTTGTAAAATAATAAAATTTGTATCTTACTTATTGAGTCAGTTTTCTTATAATCAAATTCATCGAAATGGCGTTTTTTACCTTTTTATTTTAGAAGTCAAAGGCCAGGAACTTTATTGAAATTCGCAGATGCAGTCTGCCCGGAAGCTTCGTCCCCTTCAAACATATCAATAGCCACCTGATTCACCTCGTTTTCCCCCTATTTCATAGCCGGAGAGTTTCAATTTAAAATTCATTGAAATTTCGAACGTTTCTGGCCCGCAGACATGCCAAACATGGAACACAAAAAGCTGCCCCGGGTTGTTTATAGGATTTGTCAAACGTTGAGACAGGAAAACACAAAAAATAAAAGCGACGAATCTCGCCGGCGCGTCATAGTCATCACCCTGACGAAATCCCGGAACACAAAGGATGGACAGGGTTGATTGCCTTTTACAGTTTGCAGTCGCACCCACGTTTCCAAGCCCCCCGCCCCCCTTTTCCACCCGTCTTTTGTCGCATCGCATCAATTAAAGCATTACAATGTCATAATCAAAATGACAAATAGAATTACGCATGATGGGAAAGGCAACAGCCGACGGAGCTAACTCCGCTTGCGGTGGTTGATAGCCGGCAATCCCAGTCCCAGTCCCAGCACCACCCAGTATTACCCATTCCGCAGGACTCATAGCATTTGATTCCATGCCGTCCATCCCGGTGTCGTTTTTTGTTTCGAGACACTTTCCCAATTGGACCGAGTGCCAGACACCTATTCAAATTAATCCTTTGTAAGCCCGGCAGCAACATCCACCACCAACACCACCGACCATCTGCAAGGTGCAATGCGAGTCCCGGATTCCCTGGGGAAGGGTGACAACCCTGGCCCCTTTGCACTTTTCTTCTTCATGTCAAATAACGGTTATTACGCCGCATTATACCAATTGAGCGTGGACTTTAAAAAGGCTTCTCTGCGATTACCAATCCCCGATGATAATGATAATGGAAACAAAAGTGAAGTTTTTGATACGGTATGACTTTTTGGGAATACCCTTATCAATACCCTTGAATATGTTTATATTAAAAATATCCAACAATTTCCATGCTTAGGTCCTTTTTTTGTTGGACCTTTTTTTGTGCTTAGGTTAGTAATTAGTAAACAAATCTTTGGAGTGTCAAGACAGCTAAAAATGAAATAAAAATTATATTAGAAACTAAATTTACTATTAAAGACTAAAAACAAGAATACGTTCAAAAAGAGTATAAAATGGCTTAACGTCGATTATCAAACCCTGATGACAATGAACAAATTATCAGTTATTCCGCACATGCTTAAAAGAAAGGCCAATTCCGGGAAAAAAAAGTTTTAATCACACTTTGGCTCGAGCTTCTCTCATTAAATTTTCCCATCCTCTTGAATTTTCCGTCCTTTTCTGTTTTCTTAATTTGCGTACAAATTATTTGTCAGAGGGTAGAAAAGGCCCCGCACAGCTGTGCCAAAAAGTTAAGCAACCGAAAACTCACATCACAGGGAAAATTCTTTCCACTTTGACATTTCCTTGGACTTATTCAATTACATTGTGTTTTCCTTATCTTTGGGTATCCCTCTTTGGGATCCGTTATGATTGAATGTTGGAGTATAGAATTTGGGGCCAGCTTAGGGCCAATTTTTATTTTGGGTGAAAAACTTTTTTTTGGCAATTTCGTAACGTTAAATTGAAAAATTTTCGAGGGATTACTGAAGTTTAATATGGAAACAATAGCATATAAATAAAGGCCCGAGGAGTTCTCACACTTCTGTTGGAAAGAATGGGAGAAATTTTCAAGGGAATTATTGCTCAAAGCTTTAAGTGATTATAAGCTTGGAATCCCCTATAGATTAATAATATTGCATTAAAAAATTTATTGTATATTTAATAGTTTTCTGAAAAGTAGAAGCCAAAACCTCATGCTTTCAAATATGGGTTTATAAGGATAACTTTTGTTATGAGTTTAATATTTAAAGCCAACTTTCCGCTTTGTTAAACACCATCCAACCACATTCCGATCTGCCAACTCCAAACCAAATCCTTTCGAAACTTCCTGCTATGGCAAAACCGACACAAACTCACCTCATAGCAGTCAAATTATGTCAAAAATGAAGCATTTCCCTCACCCACGACATCATCTGCCGCCTGATGGATGACCCTAACACACAGAAGTGTTTAGGCCGGGAAAAAAGAGGCAAAACAAAATCAAACCAAAAATTGTGTATAAATATTTAGCTGTAAGCTATTTGCACTTCATGCTTGACATGCCACAACAGGAGGCAGCAGCAATCTACTTTTAAAATATGTTAATGCCCATTTTACCTAACCAAAGCTTTTGGGTGGGCTTTATACTGGACAAGAATACCTAAGCTGAAATATTTCTAAACTCGTTGCGTTTTTGTTGTTTCGTTTTTTGCACCCAAATAGTTTGGGCAACAGCACAAACAAAAAAATAAAAAATTGTTTTCGGAAAATAAATCAAATTGCTTATCAAAGAGATGATTTAGTGGTTGCCACAGGGTTTTTGTAGAAGGGAGGGTTTCGCCTTGGATCAACTTTAATAATTGCTCAAGTTGTGGCCTTTTGTGGTCCCGAGCCATAAGTCAATAAAACGGGGCAAGACGCTCAAGTTTGAGGTGCTCTCGAGAACACTTGGCCCACTCCTTGGACTCCCAGGTGGAACGCATCATATTATTATTATCTCTTGTGAAAATTTACGAGATCAAAAATTAAAATGCCCTCGGGGGGCAACGAGAAGAAGTGCTCAAGAAATTGTTGCAGAAAATAATTTTATGGCTGGCCAAGGGTTGCCCCCTAAATAGGGGTTGGGGCTCTGGCTCGGGCCAAAGTAATCTATAACCGCATCGGGGTGGCCGGTGGTCGGTGGTCGGCATCCTACATCCCTGCGGGCTTTTGCACGCTTCAACTGGCAAATTGTCCATTTATTATGCGGCAACGCCTCTTGCACTCTCCGTTTAGAAAATGAAGTGCCTGACGCCCCCCGAAAAAAAGAAGTGAAGGGCATTAAGACAAGCTGTCGGGTTTTGGTGGTACTTTTTTTTTTTTTTGTTTTGGGAGGGGGCGGTGGATGCACTTAAGGTGCAGCATTAGCCGCACACTTTCGGCCAAGTGAGCGGAAGTTGCACAATTAGAAGAGCTAGTCAAAGTTTCGGCCCGGTTACCATCTTGGCTTTTTCCATGCATATTAAAAATAGTTTTGGCCAGGACTCTCCTTTCTGCACCCAGCTGTCTGTGAAATATCAGCAGCAGCGCTCCGTCGATATGCATTAAAAGTTGCTGCCTGCCATTACATAAGATATTAGTTGAGACAGGTCAAGGATGAACGGGACCGGGAGCAAAAAATCCTTTCCGGACATTGAAAAATTAGAAATATTTCACCTGACAGGTGGGCGGTGGCCGTGGTCAGCTGTTTTGCATTAAGTCGGAATATTGCTGGCAACAATTTTATGCTGCTTTCAATTTTTGTTTCCTTTTTTCGATGTTTTTCATATTAAACAGATGGCTTATTCGGGATAAGTTATAAGTCCGGAAAACGAGGTCAAAGTAAAGTGAACGCCAGGGAAAATTAAATAGAGAGTAGTAGAAGCTTTCAAACACTTTTTGATAAAAAAAATTGTATGAAAATTTAAATGAAATAAAACTTAGGTAATATTAAAGATTGCATTGCCAACAAATTTAAACAAAGGTTAAACCAAAGTCAATTCAACCTAAAGCTCAATTTAAAAGGTCAATTTTTTTTGTTAGCATAGCATTATCTATGACTTCTCGTTAAAAGTAATTTTCTGCTAAAAACGCTTGAAATTCATAGAGTGCACATTTCATTTATTAAGAAATGCCCAGTAGCAATATTTGAAAAAGGGATGCCCGGGCTGCTTAAAATGTATATATGCCCGGGCTGAGGCCATTACTAGAAATGCCAAGTGGGTTTCACTGTTCCACTGCCGATGTCCAGTTAACGCTTCAATGGTGGCGAATGGCTAAATTCGGGCGCATAAAGTGAATTGTTTTATGCGCCGAGCGAAAGTCTTTCTCCGCCGCTTGCCGAACAGTTTTCCTTTTTGAAAAACGAGTTACACACGTGTCGCAAATGGTAGGGTTGCCCCTCAATCCATCCTGTTCTTTCGGCCAGGGTAATCGAAGTGAGTGTGGGATTGTGTGCGGGATCCCAAGAAGCTTGATGGCCATCCAGGCTTCATAGATTATGGATGAGTTTCATAATGAGCCAATTTATACAAGTGTTTCACATATGCGTGGGTGTTGGCCAGGATGTGGGTGTATGGGTGTGTGCGTGTGCCTAGGGTTGCCACTGCGTAGGGCCTCATCAAGGATTCCAGCACGACTGTCCAAAGTACTTAGTGTTTGATCTCTCCTGGCTACTACTCTATGAAAAGGACTTACTGGGTATATGAAAACAAAAAAATTAGTAGAACAATTTTTATTTCTTAATTTTTTTAATAAAAACTATAAATGTTACAATATAATACAGAATATTAAATAATTTTTAAATAATTTATCAAATTTTAATTAAATGAGTTTATCAAAAGGTAATATATTTCAAATATTTGTAGAGACTAAGTTATGCCTCGAAAAAAGTATTGTATATAAGTATTTACTTTTAAATGAATATAATTATTATAATAATTATTCTTAATATATAAAAAACAATATTTGAACGTCCAAATTGTACACTTTTAGTCTATCAATAATACGGCATAAGCATACATCAACTTGTACAAACTGTGCCAAAGAAAGAGTATACAAATTGTTAATCTTGAGATCTAACCTTCAAGGCTGGGGCTTATTTTTTTTGGCACCCAGGGGCTGTGGGGCAATGATATATGACACCCCCAAGAAGCTGCTGGCCAAAACGCCATTTGTTTAAACCAGACGAAGCGAAGCAGCAAAAGTAGAGGAATCCTCCGCCACTTCACAGCTTCCATTTGAATGCGC